TCATAAATGAGTCAAAGAGTATAATATTTCATTTACATAAAATCGATACAAATCACTTGTATCTTTTATATTGCAGCTGCCTAATCAATAGATAGTCATATACCAATACATCAATGGATCAACAATACATTTCCAATGAATCGATTCAGATATATAGGAGATATATAGGACTGTTAAATCTATGCTTAGGCCCGTTTAAGCTCGCGTTTGACCTCGATTGTATTATGAACAGATACTGTTAATTTATTATGACCAATTCATCTGAAATGAAATAATTTTAGTATAAAATAACGTTCCCCCTGCTATTGAACATTACAAATATATATTATAATTATTTATCAAATATCCGCGCTATATAAGTACCAAACTACTGAAAAACTCATACCTTGATGACATTAATCAAGATTTAAGTAAGATGAGTTATAGAAGGTAATTAGTGCTGATAATAAATGGTTTTTGCGATTACATTACACATAATGTGCAGACAGAGACATATAAAGATTAATTTACTGGAACATCGTTCACGCCACGCCAAGAGGCAAAAAAAGAACGTACACATGTATGATTAACGGAACCATTAGCGTTGCTGTGTAGGACTAAAATCTAGGACGGAAAATAGAGGGGTATATATACGATATATCGAAATTAATATCGACACGGGCAATAGCAGGCGTAACGGACGACTGTCAAAACAGTATCATTTCTCACGCCGTTATACCCAGCCCATTTAAGAGCCCGTATTCCTACACACGGCTCGATCCGCGGCTCCAGTCCGCCTCGTCGTCCTGTTTCGCACCACTTCTCCACAGCCTCGTATCGTTTCGCTTCCGTGAGCCTTTATCGCTTTAAATCGTAACAGTACATCGTGAACAAGTAAATAAAATAGTTCGCATTTCCTCTTCCTGTATACTGCCTTCCAGTAGCTTAACCCAGCGAGTTAACACATTCGAAGAAGCGAAGACTCGTGTGAGATTAAACGTGGACTATTTAACGAATACACAATTCGTTACATTTCATTAAAATTATTTAGGAAAACGTTGTACAAAAATTCTTAGCGAGCCTCATCCTCGTAATTGACTTTGTAATTTCAAGTGCGAGCTAAACCGAATGAAAATTCGCGCCACGGAGTGTCGCACTCGCTCGCAAGACTAATATTTCCGACGATCTATTTCCCATTAAATTTTCATCACGCTTTCAATAACACTACTTGTATAACAATCAATCTGCGGAGTGGGCGCGTCCAATCAAGTGCGCTGGATTATCCGGAAGTGATTCCGTTGGCTACGGGAGGCCGCGCTTCTATCCATCACTCTCCGTATCCTTCCTGCTCGAGCGCAAAACTATCATGTAAAGCTACATTGGTGACACGAGCTCGCTTACGTATTCCGTAGAGTCGGTAATCCAATGCGAGAGAGTACTATAACTGGGAGATTGAGATTGCGCGCAATGCGCTTATGACGATTTAGTGGCCGGATCGAGATGTTTGCCTCTCCACAAACGGTGCTTGCGGCGGAATCAAGCCATGAAGTTGTCGAGAGAAGATATCTCTACACTCTATAGAAACCTTAAAAGATTCTGTGCAAAATATCCCAAAACAATAAAGAGAACTGAATTTTTATAATTAATTTATCATTAAAATTACTTGATTTATTTTCAACAATTTTAGTAAATTTAATTTATTTTCATAGATATATAAAAATTAGTAAAAAGAGATCCGTGTAAGTCATCTAACAGTGAAAAGAATAAAATAAACTATATTATAAACTTTATAAAAAATATATACATATATTTTTTAAAATAAAATTGAGTGGTTAATTTACTTAATAAAACAATTAATGTTATTTTATGTTCGAAATATAGAAAATATAACAAAGTGTAACGGAGGTATAACGAAAAGAGCGTAAGTAAAATGTACATATCTATCAAGATCAGGTATAGATACGCCATTCTACTTCAATGTCGAAGTAGCCAGTTACATTAACATTTCGACGGAATCGATCGTTCACACAGACATGTACGCACACGATCTATTTCCATTAAACGTCATGTTTCACATAACGTATCCATCGTATGTGTCAACGAAAGATCTAAGCGCAATTTCGGGATTGTCGGATTGAAACGTCGACTTCGCGAAATTATTATCTGGAGAACGTGGCGCGATTGGAAAACAAAGCCTCGAAACCATTCAAATGATGCATCGGCGTCAATAAATTCGCAAGCAATTTCCCATTTATTTCCTAAGATTTTCTTATCTCGAAGAAGGATGAGAATATTACAAAATGAAGCTTACATAGCTTACATAACTTACTTGAATCACTATATATATTAAAGGAAACGTGAAATGTGGGGCGAGAGTTCATCTAACAAGTAATATAAAAAAGATCATCGTAACTGAATATTTTGAGTAGTTTAACTTTATTTCTAAAGAGAATAAAAATATAGTATGAACGACTATTTAAGGAATTCAAAAATACTTTTACTTGAAGAAAAAAAAAGGAAATTAAAAATATGAGTAACGAGAAATATTCTGCAGAGAGAATACATCAACTGTAGTTATTTATGTATCTGACAATTTAACATCTCTTTAATAGATTGCGGTTTATCGTGATGTAAGAATGTTATTGAAGTTGTGTTAGATTGTTTCTAATCTTCTTCCACGAGTCGATCTACAGTTTTCAAGTATCCTGGCAGATCATCTCGTGCTAATCTCTTCATATCCCGCAACGCGCCGTTAGAACTCGGCGAGTAAATTTCAGTCCCGGGCCAATTGTTCATGGTTGATTTGAATCGTTAATTGGGTACGCTTATCGTCTCACGTGCACATTGCCCGCCCAACGTTCTTGCGCGCTGGTGCATGCCACGTATACACGAATAACTTAATCACGCGAATTTGATCTTCGCCTCTGTCCTTCTCTCATAAAACGCTTCTTTCTTGTGTGTATAGACAAGTTGAATAAATATTATATAGCATATAAGCATAATTTAAAATATTATAATAAAGATTAGAGACTACATATTTATAAAAATATTTAATTTGTTTTATATAATAAATATTTAAAATTAATAATAAGAAAGAACATACAATTAAATTAATTATTAATAATATTTATATGATAAATTCATTTATTTAATAAGCGGCATAAAAGAAATGCAACTTAATTCTTTGATAACTATGTAGAAAATTATTTTATAATTTGAAGAAGATATCGTTTTACTCGACAAAGATCTCCATAGTTACTTTCGAGTAACATCTGCTGCTAATTACTTTCTATCTAATAATCACCTTCCTTCAGAGTAATTATAGTCGATCTTTTCGTTCTCTTTTAAACAATTTAGAAAAGAGAAGAAAACTTTTTTAAGGAATTTAATAATATTTTCAGAATTAACAAAGTTATAAATATTTTTCTTAAGTGTTAAATAATCCGAACAGACTATTCGATATGATTAAGAAAGCCGGAATCTATGTTCCATATCTACGATTGTCGGCGATGTCCATGTTCTGTGAGAGAGACAAACGAGGCGCTAAAGCCGCTCGATCGCGAGTAGAGAAGCGGGTAAGGATGAAAAAGTTCACTTCGCGAAGAGGTCGGGTATATCAATCGTTAGGTTGTCTTCGAATTTGAGAGATAACCACCGGTTACCCCGGCGACGTTTCAAAGAAAGTATCCGACCTGCTTTCGCCGGCTGGATCGATGGCACCGAACTTGTCGTCGACTACGTATATAGTTGGACTACAGACTCGTTTATCCCTGCCAAGGACATTCAGACGTCCATTTACATGGTAACACGGCACGACGTCGACGTCGTGTAACTGCGCGAGTTTCCATCCGGCCACCCGACAAAAGGTTATTAGATCCTGACGACCCCCCGCCCTCCCGTGGCTCGCTTACACGCGACGTTATGGCTCCTCCTCGGTCGACCCGTCGACCGTCGAAACAAAGTTCTGGCGTGTACTTCGAGACTTGGAGACGCAACCATCGTCAGGCGCGCGTCATCGGGAGGAATCCCGCAGCACGTCGTCGCCAGCCAGCGCAGCGACATGCCGGAAGTTATCGAGAAACTCAGAGTATAAATAGAGCATATACAATACATAGAGCAAGGTTTACATCTTGCAACCACGTTAGGACAAAGGAATTCTCGACAGCTTCAAAGATACTCCACGGTCCACGCGGAACCAAAGAGCGATCGCACCTGATACATGTAATTTCTTTTTACGCAACAAAATATTATGAAAAACGTACAAAAAAAGATGATAAATAGCGCAATAAAATTTTATATTAAAACGCAGCTAATAAAAATGCTGACTATTTTGTATTTAGCAATATTTATGATATATCTAAGTCAATTATTATTTACATAGAAATAATAATTTTGAAATATGCTAGATTTTTCAAATTAAGCATCCATCACCAGATATTTCATATTACATCACCATGTAAGGATCTGCACTCGGATCTGCAATAACAGGACGTGATGGACGTGTAAAATGGACCCTACACTTTTTCCAAGACATTACCTTGGAAATCCCTTGCATTTGATTCGTATAATATGTTGGAATACGTTATAGACGCTGATGCTGTGGGGGTGTTACTCCTTCTCATAATAAAAAGTATTTACTATTACTCGAAATGAGGCCAAGTTTAATGTAAATCATAATCAAATCAATATTTAAAGATACATTTCTTTGAACTTAAACAGTATTTGTAAAACTCAAAGAGGCATTTTACTTAATTATCAAAGTTTCTCATTTAATTATTAAAAAAATATATATTATATATAAAACGAGTCACACAATTTTGCACTACTTTTACAATTAATAAAAGTGATAGACAAAAATTGAACAGTTTAATGATACTTATTTTTCATGATGTTATATTTTTATACATGCACTGCGTATTTATTATATGTATAATACGAAAATACGCTATTCCCAGTTTCTCAAAAACTCACTGATAAGATAACACATTGATCATTAGACATAACAATAATCATTATCAATAATGATAGATCAATTAACCTTAAACGACGGTGTGCAGTTCTTAACTATCGGTATAACGCAGGTGAGTCTAAAAATTATTTCTATTTATACCTACAGCAAGTTCTTATATAAACTCGAGTGAATATTGTCAAACACTGTAGTTGCTATTACTGAATTCACTCTTGTGACATATATCTATTGATGAAACTCGGTCATTCTACTGTGCATATCTGTTACACTAAAAATGACGCAGTTACTATTTAATGTATTAATTCTAACAATTGCAAGTATAAGCTTCGGTGTTGAATTGGAAGAGCAGTACAAATGGGAATATATCGATTACGTATGGAAAAACTCAAGGCACAAGCAGAATGCGGTGAAAATTGGCTATTATAAAATTAGTAAGAACGTTTTATATGATGCAGATATAGCACCAGGTAGGTTAATACTATAATTCAAAGAAATGACAATAATTTTATATAAAATATCTTTGTATTTAAAAACTTATTAATATAGTACTTAACATCATTGTTATTTAATTATTATATTTGTATGTTGCCAATAAAATAAATAATATTATTGCTGCAATGCAATTACAACATGCTTGCAATAAACACATCTTCCATCAGCGCACAAGATCTTTACAATTCTACTTCTTGTAGATGGTAGAATATTTGTTACTGTGGTAAGACAGAGGGGAGTACCAGCTAGTTTAACGACAATAAATAAGATAGTAGAACGAGGTGGTCCACTTCTGTCTCCTTATCCAGATTGGACATGGCACAAATTCAATAAGACTAATTGCGGTTGTGATACTATTACAAGTGTATACCGAATATCCGTGAGTATAGCAGTATCTTTTTTTAGCAACATATAGCTATCGTATATAAATAATTAATATTATTATGTGCTACGCATATATCTACTTTTGTATTAGATCAAATGCAATCGCCTTTTCGTTCTGGATTGTGGCGCAGTCGGGGAAGAGAAAATTTGTCCTCCGAAACTATTGATCTTCAATTTAAAAAACGATATGCTCGAGAAATGTCTCGTCATCCCACCTGACATCGCTAGTAACAAAAATGGCACTGGATTGCTCGTGACACCACTTCCTTATGTTCGAGATTGCAATTACATAAACGATGCAACCGTTAGTATTTTTCTCAAACTTCACGCGTTTAGTCATAACAGTACGCGTTCTTTGTTCTATACTCGTGTAAATGTCTCGTTAATACGTTACATCTTGTTATTTAAATCAAGATGCAACTATTATATTAATTAAATAATAGATTAACGTATGTACAATGAATGTATACAGGTGTTTATGGCTGGCACTGAAGGTTACGGTTTGGTGATATACAACAAAAATTTAGGCTTCTACAGAATTGAATCTGATTTTATGAATGCAACTGATCCCACCATAGAAGGTCAGAGTTTTTATTCGAAGGACAGTAGTCTCAGCTTAACAATTATTAATAAATGTAAGTACCAAGTTTCTAACACAAATATTATTTAAATTATTACATAAGCTTATTACACAAGCTCATATAAATAAGTATTAAGATATTTAAGTGTTATTTTGATTTGATACTTGCGTCATATTACTACCATTTATTTATTAACTGCAGTTATACATGCACATTTACGTTTTATAACTAACAGAAACTTTTATAACTAATATAAAGCATAGAAAGCTTTTCGGTAAATAATTGATGTCATTCACTAATTTTTGCGATTGCTCATTTCTTTCTCACGAATGTTTTAGATTTATACTATGCTTCTTTAGCGGGACGCAAGATATTTAAGATAGATATTAGTAATCCACAAAAATTTTCAAAACTAACCAGAAACGAGACTAATAGTTTAACTAAATTGGTGGGTACCTTATCTGGCCAAACGGGACCGATAGCATCCGCACAACACGCACTATTTTTCAGCAACATCCCGAAAACGTCAATTTTGTGTACGAACACTAAGAAGAAATTTAATACAGTAAGTGAGAGATATTTGAATATAATTATTATCGGTATATTTTTCGATAACAAATTACTTTTAATACTCTATCAACGTTACTACATGAATTAATGACAATCATGGTACAATTTTAATTGTTGTAAAATCAAATATTCATTTTAAGGAAATTGTCGCACAAGATGCCGAAAAATTGCAATTTCTAAGTGGGATGAAAGTTACATGGTGTGGAAGAAAACTACTAATCGTAACAAACCATCTGCAACATATTACATTAGATCTACATAATACATCATTTCCAAACAAAAAAACAAACTTCCGTATTCTCACCATAGATATAGAGCAAATACGGCAGGAAACAAATTGTTTTTCTTCTTACAATAGCACTTATCATAGTCTTGTATTTTTTCCTTTTATACCTTGGTTTTTTTATATACCTTGGTTTTCTGTTTTCATTGAAAAATAAAACAATTTTTTTTAACAAGATTTTTGTAAAAATATAATGTACAACATATTATTTTCTTTCAGAATGGATACATCATTAATAATTAAATGTTTATATAAAATAACATTCTTATTTAAGCACAGCTTAGCCTGCACTATCTTCTTTCTTTTAAACTGTGAGACAGTAAAACAAACTGTAAAACTGTAAAAAACAGTGAAAATTAAAGATAAATTGCACAAGGAATATGTATTTTCCATTCCCAGAAGTCCCATTGATAAGATAACATTCTGCGCGTCTGTAACAAGTGTCTTTATCAGTTCGAGACCACTATTGTTTATCGCTGGTATAATGAGAGGTTTTCTGAAAAGTGTTCTTATAGTTAAAAACTTTTCGTAGATATTGGCTAACATAGTGTGAGCTATCATTAATAGATTCGTACTTGCGAAATACATGTCTATTATATTTATTCGCAGAGTTCAGTTACGTTATTTTATTATGTGCAATAGTTACGCTGAAAATAAAATATCCTTTACTTGTCGCATTAATTCTGACGATCGCAATTATAAGCTTTGGCGTTAAACTGAAAGAATCTAAATGTTTTTTATGATAAATTCTCTCCAAATTTTTAAAAATATATAGTAATGAAATCATGATATTTGCCTTTTTACTGTTTAATGAAACATATAAACAAAAAATCGCGAAAAACAAAAAATTCTTTGAAATAAAACTGTTAAATGTACACAAGATCGTACTTTACGCGTATATTGCAGCATGTTGTAACATTTTGGCTATTTTGACCGACGCGCATATAAACGTTCATAATATTCTGGTCATACGGTATGCACTAAATCGTCCAAGAGAGGACATTAATGTCCTCCTCTATACGAGACACGCATAACGGCAGCCAGAGTGCACAACGCTTATTTGCGTCTATACTATTTAATTACTTAAGAACCCAATTAAAAAAAAAAGAATAAAAAAAAACAGCTTTCTTTCAAACAGAAGTTCAAAAATATGACTAAAGAAGACATCTAGAAACAATTAGGTTAAGTGCAATGTAAAATTTCACAATAAAATTTTTTCTGTTTATAATAATCGTAACGTTATACAGCTGGGTGTTAAACGATTAAATTTTATATGCTTTATTAAGAACGCGCGTTCATGTCCGAGTGTTTTTGACGTGATCGAGCTGATAATAATCGGGCGCATATGAAGAATCACGCATCTTTAATTAAATCATGAATTATATTCCGCATCATGTCTCAACCGAAGCCCGGTTTAATCAAATCAGCCGTACAATGGAAAATTGCGAGACGCTAGTCATATTGTACTTTATAACTTCTTCAACAATAAAGTGTTCACCCGTTGTTCCGAGGAACGAACGAAAACTTAGCAGCTTATCAACTCGGGCGCATGAAGGCTCTTATTTTTTTTTTATTTTACTACAAAATATACGAGACTCTAAACTATTTATCCCTTGGGCATCATAATATTCTGCCAACATGCGCTACCAGAATTCGGTCATACTTGATCCAACATATTTTACTTTAAAAAAGATATTAGTTTATAGTATGATATATTATATTGTAAGTAAAATATATAATATTCTTTTTGATAGTATTTTCTAGTGGATTCAACTAAAAACCTTGATTCAGCATATCTTGATTAATTTTGAATTATTCACTGGCGACTCAAGAAACACTACACACAACACTCTCGCTGACAATAATATAATTTTTTATTTAAAGAACTGCATTCCGTTACCTTATATCAAAAGGTTAAGTGATAGCATTTTTCGTACGTTCCACATCACGTAAGCTACACATCACTACCTTGTTTACAGTTCCTAAAAAACTTGACTGCTTAATTAAACGAGGTAAAGATAGAATTGATGATCTAAAACAGACCGAAGTAGTATACAAGATTAATTGCAAAGATTGCAATGCTACATATATTGGGCAGACTAAAAGACATCCGTGCACATCTCAGGGAACACCAGAGCGATTTCAGAAAACACACTAGCAAGCATTCTGTAGTAATGAGCACCAAATATCCTATGGGCACGATTTTGATTGGGGAAAACCAGAAGTAATACATAAAGAGAGACAGATCAGAAAGAGGGAATTAGCGGAGATGTTTTTTTATAACGTTCTCTATAAACATATTATAAAAAAAACATAGTTGAATTATAAAGAAGACTATTAATATAATGGATATCCATTTCGATAAGTGAATTCTAATTGCTACTTTACTCTGTTTATAGTATTAATCAATAATATAAAATGCGATGAATACTTTATTATTCAATTATACTTCGTCGCTCTATCTATCAAGAGACATATTCTTGATAGATAGTAGTCATGTCGCTCATCAAATTAACTGAAGTAAACTAAAATTATCTTTTCTAATTTATGTGAATAATTCCGTCGCACGGAATTTTTAAGTCCACGCGTATCTTGCCTCAAAATTGCCTTGCAAACAAAAATTTAATTCGCGTTTATAGCTGCGCAGTGGAAAATCGAGAATTAAATGGAAGAAGAGAAGCTGAGATATCCGGGAAATTAAAGCACCGCAAACAACGAGAGATGTCTCACATGTGCATACATTTATCATTATTGACGTGGTGTACGAGCGGTAAAAATCGAAATAGGAGGACCGACACCGAGGTCTCAGCGTGTCTCTAGACGCGAGTCAAATAACAGCTATTTTTTATTTTATTTCGTTCTCACAGCGGACCGTTGGCGTTTGTTTGTTAGAACGCAACAACGGAAACGTTTTAATTTAGTTTGTCGTCGAGTGCGGGAGCATCCGAAGAGTATGGAAAGCAACGCGTAAAGGGGAACATATTTCATAGAACCGCGTTTCATTACTTAACTCCATATATTTCCATATTGGAACGTTCATTCATTTCGTTAGCATATGAAGGATTCCGCTTCGACTTTCGAAACTGGAATTTTACGGACGCGGGGATGCATGTTAAAAATGCAGTATTGAACTTTTGGAACTTTTGATAATAACGTTCTCTATCGATTCGCTTACATTGTAACGTTAATTGACGGGTATCTCGCGGAATTGCACGCATTTTCTGGCAAAGCGGTGAAAAGTTCCCGGCTCGAATCCGTTCTCGGGTGGTTTATCGGTTCGAAGGGTTTCCCAGAACAATGGCACCCTGGAGAATGGGTTGGCAATGGCGGCGATGGTATCCCTCGTCCCTCTTGTTATCGCTAGGCTTGTCTGGCGAGGCAAAAGATGCGAGCGTACCCTCGAGACACCAGGTAAGTTCCCAATGAGCCGAAGTCAGCATGTCACGGAAGATTAAGCTCCCTAAAGTACCGAAATTCTGTCGCGCGGAGGACGGTAATCAACTGGAATGGACGAAAGCTGGCCAGCAATAATTTTTAAAAAAGTGAGCAAGAGTCACTGGTCCTTTTAATCAAAAGCTTTTGTTATGTGAGGTGCTTCGAGGGTACAATCGTAAAAATTTGCCCATCCGTAATATTTTAATACTTAAAAAGATCTATTTATTTTGTTCATTAATGAGCTCTTTTTAGTCAGTCACATAAAGCTTTTGGAACTTTTAGAGATTCATAGAATTTCTAAAATATTTCATTTCTCAAATTTAAAGACGGAACGCAGGACATGTCGGTTGGAACTGTTACACTTGGCAACAGAAATCAGTGAAAAAGAAGCGCGAATATTAAATTCATAAATTATATCGTGTACGACGTGTGCGACGACCGAATAGAGCGCAAATAAGAGTATAAGGAAGTGGATAACTTTCCGCGAATTTTTCGACCTCGTATGTTATCCGTCGGTTTGTGCTGTCCGATTGCCACCAGCCACCAGCCACAGTAACTCAGCTTGCAATTCTGCCGACTTTCTTTCGATAACTTCGATACTTTTCAAAATATAGTTTGTGGTTTACTTACTATACACGCATTATGAAATTAATTAAGTAATGGGAAAGTTCCCATGTTATAATTTTTATTTACACCGCACAAGAAATTTATTATATTATACATAATTTATTATACACACAGAAAGTATATACACAAATGTTACAAAGAACATAATACAAAATTAATTTTAAGAAAGAACAAAAACTGATTAAAAATACAAAAAAATACCATTAAAAAATTAAATATTCTTGTACAAATAATGTTTAAATTTAATAAAATAAGCGCTAATTAATCAAATATTAAATCTTCTGATTTTTTAAATTTATATTGGATTGCAGTACATGATGTTTAAAACGTATTACTACACTTTTACTTCAAGCATAAAGAATGAAACGTAGTAAGAAAAACGCTTTGATTACAGATAAAGTAAGGCACTGAGAGAACTTACGAGAATGAGAGTGAAACGTTTATAACACATTGGCGGAATTTTGAAAGTTTCGCGTTACGACCCGCTTTCTCAGTAAGAACTTTTAAAGTCGGAGCACCGCGGAGTGCGACGTGCAAGGTTTAAGAGTGCAAAGATATTTCTCTTCCATGATTTCTGCGGAAATTATTACCGCGACTCTCGCGGGAGTGGAGGCAATTCTATATATTGAGCCTCACGCATCAATATAAACTGAAAAATAATTCACGGGAGCGAAACAATATAGCTCCATGAAATATACGCACATAATCTGCGTATCGTTATCTACATCGTAAAACTCGAACAGGTCGCTGAACCGCTAACTTACGCTCCGGAAAATAATTTGTATAGGGCCGCACTTAGTCTTTTTTATTTCTTTCTAAATGTGCAGTCGATCGCGCGATGGTATAGCTCGGAAAGTGTGCGCGCGTATCACGATGATAAAAGAAAAACAGAGGATCGTTTAGAACGGAGTCTGTGAAAACCGCGCGCAATCAATAATGGTTATCAATCCGACCGCCATCATTTTAACTGGCGGCGCTCTTCTTTTTCTCTACATATGTTGGGCTGCATTGGACGTTTTGCGTGTGTCACACATTTGTACAATGGCACGATAGATAACATGCTGTATCACTTTTACGTTCCTTTTTTTTCGCGAA